ATACACTGTTGGTGGGAATGTAAAATGGTACAACCACTTTGGAAATCGATGTGCCACTTCCTTAAAAAGCTAGAAATAGAAGTACCATACGATCCAGCTATCCTGCTCCTTGGAATATATCCTAGAGAAACAAGAGCCGTCACACGAATAGACGTGCACATCCATGTTCATCGCAGCATGTTCACAATAGCAAAAAGACGGAAGCAACCTAGGTGTCCCTCAACGGACGAATGGGTAAACAAACTATGGTAGATCCACACAATGGAATATTATGCAATGACAAAAAACAATGACAAAGCTGTGAAACATCGTATAACATAGTGGAAGCTGGAATTTACTATGCTGAGTGAATTTAGTCAGTCACAGAAGGACAAATACTGTATAAGACCACTATTGTAAGAACTCAAGAAAAGGTTTAAACATAGAAGAAGACATTCTTTGATGGTTACCGGGGTGGGGAGGGAGGGTGAGGGTTATTCACTGACTAGATAGTAGATAAGAATCATCTTGGGTGAAGGGAAGGGCAGCGCACACTGCAGGGGAAGCCAGCGCTACTGGACTAAGTCAAAGCTAAGAAGTCTCCTCAATATAATCAAATACTTTGAGAGACAGAGTAGCAGGGATGGGGGTCTGGGGACCATGCTTTCAGGGGACATCTGTGTCAATTGGCATAACAAAGCTTATTAAGAAAATGTTCCGCATCCTACTTTGGTGAGTGGCATCTGGGGTCTTAAAAGTTTGCAAGCGGCCATCTAAGATGCATCAATTGGTCCCAACCACTTGGAGTAAAGGAGAACGAAGAACACCAAAGACACAAGGAAAGTATTAGCCCAAAAGACAGAATAGGCCACATAAACCAGAGACTTCATCAGCCTGAGACCAGAAGAACTAGACGGTGCCCGGCCACCACCAATGAATGTCCTGACAGGGAACACAACAGAGGGTCCCTGATGGAGCAGTAGAACGATGGGATGCAGAACTCAAATTCTAGTAAAGGTCTCACTGAGACTGGAGGCGCCCTGGAAGGCATGGCCCCTAGATTCTATCACCCCAGAACTAAAACAATTTCTGAGGCCAACTCTTCAGACATGGATTGGACTGGACCATGGGACATACAGTGATACTTGTGAAGAATGTGCCTCTTAGTCAGGTAGATATAAGAGACCAAGGGGGCAGCGTCTGTCCAGAGGTGAGATGGGATGGCAGAGAGAGTTAGGAGCTGGTTGAATGTTCATGGGGAATCAGGGGCGGAGGGGAGGAGTGTGCTGTTGCAGAATGAGGTGAGCAGCTGGGGTCTCATAACACTGTATGTAAAAAAAAAAAAAAAATTCTGTATGGGAGAATAACTTGAAATATAAGCTTCATTTAATTATAACAATAAAAATGAATGAATAACAAAAAAAAAGAATTACAGATTTGTGAAAAGATTATCACTAAGGAAGTTCATTGAAATGTTATTTGGTACCAATTAAAAAATATAAAATTTCCTAAAAGAGGGAATCATCTAAACAAATTACAGTACATCAACGAGCTGTTCAGCTAGCTGCTAAACATGGCTGGAAAAAAACATACAACCATGGTGATGGGTTTCACTTTAAGTTCATGACCTTAGTGGACTTTAATGAAACCCAAGGATCACACTTCATTTTCCTGGTCCATTTACTCACTCACTGTCATAGACAATATCTATCACATCTTTCCTTCTCTCCTTAAATGTCTAACACCTCTTCTCCTATTCTTTTTCTGATGGCTTTGCTTCCTACTTCAGCGAGAAAAGAGACAATCAGAAAATTATTTCCATCACCTCCCCCCACATCTACCAATTTACCAGCATCTCTATCCACATTCTACATTCTCTCCTGTTACTACAGATGAACTGCCCTCACTCTTCTCTGAGCAACCTACTATCTGAGCACTGGACACCATCCTCTTGAGCCTCCTCAAAGCTGCCCTTGAGCAACTGTGCCCCCTCCTTGATTCTCTTCTCCTACAGCAACTGTTTCCCCTCTCTCCTGCAACAACTCTTCCTTCTCTACTGCCTCATTCTCATCAGCATACAGAAGGCATGTTTGTATGCTATATCTCTTATCCTAAAAACAAAACCAAAAACCATTGTCCCTTGGCTTAACATCCCCTTCCAGCTCATATTTAGAGGAAAATGCCTCAAAGAGTTGTCTATACTTGCTGTCTCCACTGCTCCTCCTAGTCTCTTAGGACTCCTCCAATTAGATTTTTGTCCTAAACAGCCCACTGTAATTAAGATGACCAGTGTCCGCTGGGCTGTGAAATCCATCCGATTCCTAGTCTTCATCTTAACCTATCAGCATCATTTAATCTTTGACCACTTCCTTCTTCCCAGAAACATTTTTTTTCACTTGGCCTCCAGAAAAAACTACTTTCTCAATGTAGTTGATGTAAGAGGGCCTATATCCCTGGCAATTATTCCTATGTCTCCTTTGGGAGTTTCTTCTCATCTGCCAAATTTCCAAAGGTTAGGAATGCCCCAGAACCCAGTCTGTAGACCTTTTGTCTTCCCTCATCACACTCACTCCCATGGTAATCTCATTCAGTCTCACGGCTCTAAAGCCACCTATATGTTGATGACTTCCAAACACTATCTTCAACCTGGATGTCTCTTATGAACTCCTAACTTACGTGTCCAACTGCTTGCTCGACATTCACCATTTGTATTTCTACAACTAAACTCGTGATTTTCCCCATAAACCATTACTCCCATAAGCTTCCTCATAATCTTCCTCACTCTTCCAGCTACTCAGGAAAAAAAAAAAAAAAAGGACTTATACCCAATTTCTTTTTTCCTCTCATAATACCTATTTCCAAACCACCAGTACGGTGCAGTTAATTACTTCTGTGTGGCCTTTCTAGCAAGGGGCTTGTAACTCTCACCCAGGTGATTATGTGATAGGGTAATTGTGGCCTACCAAGGGGATTAGTCAGCTTTGCCTCAGGAGAGAGCCAATTCCAGAGCAGAGGGAGGAGCCCACCACCACCAGCAGCAGAGAACTGGCAGCAGGAGACGGCACTGTGGGCCTCCCAGCCCACGGAGGGAGAAAGCTGAGTACCTGTGGACAGAGACTGAGGGCCAGGGAGGCGTGCCTGCAAGTACCGTTGGGAAGAGGCTATCCTGATGGAAGAACTGTATCCTGAGTGTTCTTGAGCTTGAACTGTAACTGTTAACTTCCCTAATAAACCCCATAATTGTGAGCATGGTCTGTGAGTTCTGTGTGGCCATTGCAATGAATTATCAAACCCAGTAGAGCGTACTGTGCAACGGACGGTTGGTGTCAGAATTAGTAAAGACGGCAGACAGAGGAGGCTTGTCTGGCCTCCACCTCATGGGAGTCAGCCTTACGCTGTTCATCTTGGTTCTCCTTCCCTCTTGCGGGGTTGGAGGAGATCAGACACTGCCCCAAAGACATTTTTACAACCAGCAAATCCTATCAGTTATACTTTTGAAATATTTTTAAAAATCTTACCACTTAAAGGATTTGTGGAAGATGGAGGAGGTAGTGGAGTCATAGTGTTGGATCATTCTGAATCTCCACATAAAAGCAAGAATAATTAGATAGGAACAACAAAAACCCATGGAAAACATTTACCACAAAACTAGGTAGGTTAGATATGCAATAATAGCTAAAGCAGAGGCATCTTCAAACTGTAACTTACTTAGAAGTACAGCTATATTAAAATATTCCAATTGCAAGAAAGGACAAACAATTAGGGTAGGATTCACAATGAGGCTCAAAGAGGAAAAGGGACTTGCCTAAATTATATACATAATCAACGTTCTAAAATGCATGATAGACGCTGGGATGGAAACCTTCTCAGATCACTTGTTCATTAAATGTTATCAACTTCATCATTCAGAAATTTTTCTTCTCACTGGACTACATCATTAATTGGATAAAGTTTAAGTAAAGGAAAAATAGAACTGCAGTGACATTTTATTTCAAAATGCTTTATTGGTTCAAAACTCCTTTCTCCTTCTCTCCTCTGTCCTAGATGTTTTGGTACCAACTGTTACAAAGAGACCCTTAAAGGAATAACTAGCCAACCAATTCTTCAAATTAGGGCATCCCAGTTGTATACTGGGAAAAATCTGTCCATTGAAGTCTGGAAGATGGTGGTAGCAAATTCCCACATAAAAACAGACACAGCAACTAGACACCAAAACCAAAATCCCATGACAACATTTGCAACAAAACTAAGTGAAGAAGTATCCCCATGAGTCCCCAAGTACAAGCAGATGAGGACAAACCACCAGCAGCCTCAAGTCCTATGTGTTAAAAGGCATCTGGGTAGGAGAAAGAAAAGAGAAACAATGACGGCAGCATCTGAAGGCCCCAAAATAGCTCACAAGTGTTCACTGCAAAGAATGGTGGGTCAATTTAAGAATGACTGCTAAAATCAGAAGGAGTTTTTTGCTGTTTCCAATAATGAGTACCTGCAATGAGGACTGAAAAGGCTGTAAGTCATTTAGCACCTGCAAACTCACAAAACTGACCTGCCAAAGGCTCTTTCAGAACACAGCCCCACACTGAAAAGATCTGCTATAAGTGGAGTTAGAGGTTTTATTTCATAAATCAAAAATGTTTATGAATAAAAATGTAAAATTTAATGCTAGGACCTGGTGGGAATATAATACACGATGAATGAATAAACGAACCACTCTTACCTGTTAATACAGGCATACCTAAGGTCTTTCAGGCCTGGTGATTTGCTTATGAAAGGTCACAGCCTTGAACCCTATGGAGCACAGTTCTCTGCACACATGGGGTCACCATGAGTTGGAATCGACTTAAGGGCAACTGATTTGGCTTTTTGGTTTTAAGGTCTTTCATATGCAACATAGTAAAGGGTTTCAAACTTTTTTTTTTTTTCTCCTGTGACCTAGGAGAAATACATTTGTCTGACCCAGTATATAGATACATATATGTATATATGATGGAAAAAATATCCTGAAATGATATTTGCCCCTACTACTATGAAATACTTTTGATTCTTCCTTTTTTTTTTTTCTAGCAAGGGGGAAGGGTGTAGGAGAAGGCAGGTCCCAACTCACAGTTGGAAAAATACTGCCAATATAGCACAGTGGTCAATGTGTAAGGTCTGAAAACATTGCCTGGTTTCAAATCCCAGCACTAGGATGTTACCTTGAACAAACTACTTAGATTCTCTGTGCTTCATTTTTCCCACTTATAAACTAAGAATAACTCTGTTTATCCCCCTGGATTCTTTAGAAGATTTAATCAGTTTATCCATGAAAAGTGCTTAAAATATTGTCTCATGAAATGCATATTATTATTGTTCTTGCTGTTGTTATTCAGGTCAAAATCTAAGAATATGGGTATGACAGTTTTAAACTGAGCTACGAGTACAGATAAGAAAATACTCTGAAAACAGACTAGGAAGGGATATGTTGAATTTTATGTTCATAAAAAATTTAAATAACCAAAAATAATAAATTTTTTAGCCATAGAGCCAAGCACTGCTTACCTATGATGTCATTTCTCATTGCTTCTGTAATTGGTATTGGTTTAGCAGCATCTGGAGATATATATTTGGTAAAAGTACTCACTGCATCTTGTTCAATACCTGCAGGGAAGAAGAAGACAACTTCAAAAATTAAAAAGCATAGATATAACACTAAAAGTATGAGCAGCAAAACAGAAAACAGATATATTGAACATCTAAATTGAAAACTTCTGTGCACCAAAAAACTTTATCAACAAAAGTGAAGAGACAACCTACAGATTGGGAGAAAAATTTTGGGAACTATATATCTGATAAAGGTTTAATATCTAGAATGTATAAAGAACTCCTACAACTTAACAAAAAGACAACCCAATCAAAAATGGGCAGAGGACTTGAATAGATATTTCACCAAAAAGATACACAAATGGCCAACAAGCGCATGAAAAGATGCTCAACATCATTAGTCATTAAAAAAATACTCAAAAAACAAACAAACAAAAAAACCTGTTACTGAAGTGTCTATTCCGACTCACAGCGACCTTATGGGATAAAGCAGAACTGCTGTAAATCTTTACAGAAGCAGACTGCCACATCTTTCTCCCGTAGAGTGCCTGGTGGATTTGAACTGCCAATCTTTAAGTCAGAAGCTGAGCACTTAACCACTGTGCCACCAGGGCTCTCACTAGCCATTAAACCCAAAAAACCCATTGCCATCAAGTCGATTCTGACTCATAGTGATCCTACAGGACAGGGTAGAACTACCCCATAGGGTTTCCATGGGTATAATCTTTACGGAAGCAGACTGCCACATCTCTCTCCTATGGAGTGGCTGGGGGGTTCCAACCACTGACATTTCAGTTAACGGTCAAGCTTTTAAGCATTGGGCAACAGGGCTCCTTCATTAGTCATTAGGGAGATGCGAATCAAATCCACAATGAGATACCACTTCAAACTCAGTAGGATGGCTACAATAAAAAAAAAAAAAAAGGAAAATAATAGGTGTTGGCAAAGGTGTGGCAAAACTGGAACCTTTACCCATTTGTGGTGGGAATGCATAATGGTAACAGAGAACTACCGTATGAACCAGCAATCCCAATCACAGGTATATACCCCAAAGAACTGAAAGCAGGAACAAAAATAGAAATCTGTACACTAATGTTCATTGCAGCACTAGTCACTATTCACAAGCCAAGAGGTAGAAACAACCTACTTGTTCATCAAAGATGAATGGATAACCAAAACGTGGTATATACATACAAGGAATATTACTCAGCCATAAAGAGAAATAGTCATGACACACGCTACAACATGGATGAACCTTGGAAACACGCTGAGCGAAATAAGTCAGTTACAAAAGGACAAATATTGTATGATTCCACTCACATGAAATATCTACAACAGGCAAAAGTACAGAGACCAAAGTTTATCAGAGGTTACCACCAGCTACTCCACAGGAAAGATGTGGCAGTCTACTTCCATGAAGATTTACAGCCTTAGAAACCCTCTGGGGCAGTTCTACTCTGTCCTATAGGGTCACTATGAGTTGGATTCGACTCGATAGCAATGGGTTTTTGTTGTTTTTTTTTTTTTTTTTACCACAGGTGGGAGAGGTGGGGGAAAAGGGAGTAACTGCTCAGGGGGCACTGAGTTTCTGTTAAGGGTGATGGAATAATTTGAAAACATAACGCTGATTGTTCCACAACGTGAACATAATCAATGACACTGATGTACACGTAAACAATGTTGAACTGGCAAATGTTTTGTTATATATATTTTTACCACGATAAAACAATTACAGAAATAAAAAAGCAACTTGGATTACACAATGGACTATACTCATGAATAGCAGGGCTGTTTGTTATGTGTCCAAACTCCTATATATAGTTATTACAAAACAAGCTTCCATCTTCATGTTGCTTTTTAAACATTTGATTTGCACAATGGGAGTTATATGTGCATTTCTTCCCCTTCTTTACGAGCTAACAAGCTCTTCAACTGCAATTATTTATGCATGTGCTCTTTTCTCGATGAGCAATTCAAATGCATTTTATTATTTTTTAATAATTTTTGTTGTTGTTGAGAATACACACAGCAGAACATGTTGCTGTTAGGTGCTGTCGAGTCAGTTCTGACTCATAGCGACCCTATGCACAAGAGAACAAAACACTGCCCAGTACTGCATCATGCAGACAATTGTTGTTATGCTTCAGTTGCAGCCACTGTGTCAATCCATCTCGTTGAGAGTCTTCCTCTTTTTCGCTGATCTTCTACTTTACCACACATGATGTTCTTCTCCAGGGACTGATCCCTCCTGATAACATGTCCAAAGTATGTGAGATATAGTCTTGCTATCCTTGCTTCTAAGGAGCATTCTGGCTGTACTTCCTCCAAGACAGATTTATTTGTTCTGTTGGTAGTCCGTGATATAGTCAATATTCTTCGCCAACACCGCAATTCAAAGGCATCAATTCTTCTTCGGTCTTCCTTATTCATCATCCAGCTTTCACATGCATATGATACAACTGAAAATTCCATGGCTTGGGTCAGGGGCACCTTAGTCTTCGAGGTGGCATCTTTGCTTTTTACCACTTTAAAGAGGTCTTTTGCAACAGATTTGCCCAATGCAATGCATCTTTTGATTTCTTGACTGCTGCTTCCATGGGTGTTGATTGTGGGTCCAAGTAAAATGAAACCCTTGACAACTTCAATCTTTTCTCCATTTATCATGATGTTGCTTACTGGTCCAGTTGTGAGGATTTTTGTTTTCTTTATGTTGAGATGTAATCCATACTGAAGGCTGCAGTCTTTGATCTTCATCAGTAAGTGCTTCAAGTCCTCTTCACTTTTGGCAAGCAAGGTTGTATCATCTGCATAATACAGGTTGTTAATCAGTCTTCCTCCAATCCTGATGCCACGTTCTTCATATAGTTCAGCTTCGTGGATTATTTGGTCAGCATACAGACTGAATAAGTATGGTGAAAGGATACAACCCGGACACACACCTTTCCTGACTTTAAGCTACACAGTAACCCCTTGTTCTGTTCCAAATGACTGCCTCTTGATCTATGTACAGGTTCTTCATGAGCACAATTAAGTATTCTGGAATTCTCATTTCTTCGCAGTGTTATCCATAATTTATGATCCACACAGTCGAATGTCTTTGCATAGTCAATAAAACACAGGTAAACATCTTTCTGGTATTCTCTGCTTTTAGCCAGAATCCATGTGACATTAGCAATATCCCTGGTTCCACATCCTCTTCTGAATCCGGCTGGAATTTCTGGCAGTGCCCTGTTGATGTACTGCTGCAACTGCTTTTGAACCATCTTCAGCAAAATTTTACTTGTGTGTGATATTAATATATTGTTCGTAATTTCCACATTCAGTTGGATCACCTTTCTTTGGAATAGGCATAAATATGGATCTTTTCCAGTCGGTTGGCCAGGTAGCTGACTTCCAAATTTCTTGGGAGAGATGAATGAGCACTTCTAACGCTGCATCCGTTTACTGAAACATCTCAACTGGTGTTCCGTCAATACCTGGAGACTTGTTTTTTGCCCATGCTGTCAGTGCAACTTGGACCTGTTCCTTCAGTACCATCCGTTCCTGATCACATGCTACCTTCTGAAATGGCTGAATGTCAACCAATTCCTTTTGGGATAGTGACTCTGTGTACTCCTCCCATCTTCTTTTGATGCTTCCTGCATTGCTTAATACTTTCCCTGTAGAATCCTTCCATACTGCAACTCAAGGCTTGAATTTTTTCTTCAGTTCTTTCAGCTTGAGAAACGCCAAGCATGAACATACACCAATTTAACATTTTCTACATGTACAATTCAGTGACTTCGATTATACTCTTCTAGTTCTGCAACCATTCTCATACTCCTTTTCCTAGCTGTTCCTCCTCCATTACTATAAACTCACTGCCTCCTCACTGTCCTCTATAATCTTTTGAGTTGCTGTTGTCAATTGGATCCCATACAGATAGATCTTGAAAGAGCACAATCCTCAAGGCAGCCATTCTTTACTAGTTAAGCTAAACTATTGTTCAGTTTTAAGAAGACTTTAGGGGATATTTCTGGTTGAAACTTTAAGGTTTAAAGATTATCTGAGGCAGGGAAACTAGATTAATGGAAATGGACAACCAGAATGGAAATAATGACAATGTTCACACATTGTGAAGAATGTAAACAATGTCACTGAACAATTTGTGTATAAATTGTTGAACGGGAACCTAAACCGCTGTGTAAACTTCCACTAAAAACAATGAAATATTATCAAGAAAAATTATCTCAGGGCAACAGTTTCAGGGGTTCATCCAGCCTTCGTGGTTCCAGAAAATCTGGAGTCCACCACAATTTGAAATTCTGTTCTGCATTTTCCCCCTTTTGATCAGCATTTAGCTGTAGAATCTTTGCTCAAAATGTTCAGTAATGGTAGCTGGGCACCATTCAGTTCTGGTCTCATGGCAAAGGAGGCAGTAGTTCATGGAGGCAAGCAGCCACACATTCCATTTCCTCCTCCTATTCCTGACTCTCCTTCTTCCTCTGTTGCTTCAGGTGAAGAGACCAATTGGTGTAACCTGTTTGGCCGTGGGTAAGCTTTTAACACCACAGGCACTACGCAACAAACTAGGAAGTAGAACAGAAGCACTGAACATGTTATTAAGCCAATTAACTGGGACGTCCAAACCAAGGAATCAAATCCCATGAGACGTTTGGATATACATATATAAGTAGCCTCAGCAGTTACACATTTTTTTTTTTTTTTGGTCATTGTTGTCAATTTATCTATCACACAATTTCTGCCAATTTGACTTTTTACAGGTGTACAACTTATTGATGGCAATTACATAAATCGGCTGTCAACCCCATGTTTAATCAATGCAGTTTCCATCACCATAAACCAAAACACAGTACTCCACAAGCAATACCGTATTTTTATGCAAATAACGTGCTCCTCCTGCATTTGTTTGCTGGCTACACCATCCCGACTCCCCCTGTATTTTCCTAAACGTGCTATGCTAATTTCTTTTTTTACAGCAACATGTGGAAGCGAATTGGCACGGCAGTGCTTGTGAGAGTGCCTCGTGGCGGGAGGGCATGGAAGGTAAGCATTATTTGCATAATCCCCCTTCTACTTCCCTCTCACCCATGGTAACCAGAAATGAACTTTGGTCTCTACACATTTGCTTGTTGTTACCTTCTTATATAAGTGAGGTCGCACAGTATTTGTCCTTGTGTTGACAGACTTTTTTCACTCAGCATGTTTTCAAGCTCTATCCATACTGTAGCATGTTTATTAGGGCTTTATTTCTCTTACTAGCTGAGCAGTATTCCATTGTATGTATGTTCCACATTGTGTTTATTCACTCATCCACTGATGGGCATTTAGGTTGTTTCCACCTTTTGGCTATTGTGAGTAATGCTGCAATGAACATTGGTGTCTAAGTATCTGTTTGAGTCTCTGCTTTCAAGTCTTTTGGGTATATATGTAGGAGTGGAATTTCTCAGTCATATGGTAGTTCTATTTTTAGTTTTTTTGAGGAACCACCACACTGTCTTCCACAATGGCTGTACTATTTTGCATTCCCAACAGCAAGAGATAAGGGTTCCAAATTCTCAATATCCTCGCCAACATTTGTTGCACATGCTCTTTCTATGTCTCTTCTCCAGAGTCCCAATTTGGACTTGTATAGCAGAATAAATAACAGCAGAAAATCAAGTTATTTTTAAATGTACATTTAAAAATTCTGCAAATTGATTTCAAATTCAGGTAGACTTCAACTTACAACGGGGTTCAATCCTGATGACTCCATGTAAGTCAGTTCTGACATAAAAGTTGAATACTTTGGTTTTTTTTTTTTAGTTTTCACTATTATTGCCTTTTATTATCAGTATTTTTATAAATCCAATCTTTGTCTTTGGGGATTGGAAACATTCCATATACATAAACATTACATATAAACTTTTCCGGTTAGCAGTCAATCGCTTTGACCACCACGCCACCAGGGCTCCAAGTGAATTTTATTACTGGGCAACAAATATCATCAACCATTTTCCTTGAACTAACAGGATCACATCATTCCTTTTCAAGAAAATTTCTGCCAAATACCCAAGTCTGAATAACAATAGTATGTCTGCAATCATTCTTTTTAGCAAAAATGGTGTGTTCCATTTAAAAAGCAGTTAATTCAGCTCACAACACAATAAACTGCACAAGTGCTTTTTCTTGAGACTACTACAGTATGCAGAAGTGATTTATGCAGAAAAACATTTTGTCATATACATATTATAAAAAGATATGTGCCCAAGGGTTGAAATTTAATAAAACTAGTATCTACTGCTCCAAAGACATTCTTAAATAAAACCAGCATTTTATTTTTTCTACATGGCAGTGAAGAATACTACTATACTACTACAATTTGGTACCAAAGCAAGCAGGTTTTCCATTGATTTTGCACCATCATTACAAACGTCAATATAGTGAAAAAGACAACATCTTAAAATTATGATAAAAATAGTTTTGCCCCCAGAGAACCCACTGAAAAAGTCTGAGAGACCCCTACAGGTATGCGAACCATACTTTGAGAACCCCTGAGTTAGCAGAATAGATACTATCCCTATTTCTATAGGTAAGAAAATTTGTTATTAAAAAAAAGTAAAATGATTTATTTGAGGTGAAGAAAGTGGCAGAGTCAGGCCTAAAGCTCAGGTCAGGCTTCATTTATTTTCTGGGGCATTAAATCCATTGAGAGAAGTTTCTGATATCCTAAGTAAAACATTAATGATATTTCATTTCAGAAATATACAACTAGGTTACACCCTTACTTTCATTTACTTAATAAGAATAAAAGGACACTAATGTTTAACTCAATAAATACTTTCCTCTCCTCCTGGGACGTAAATGACACAAAGTCCTTCATTGGTAAAGGAGTTACAAGGACATATTCAGAAAACCCTAGGCCATATAACAGTGATATGTGCAAATACAAGAAAAAGGTTTGTTCAAGAAAGAGACTTTCTACTGTTCATGAAAAAATGGAAGCTGAAACGGGGGAGAAAAGAGTAGGTATTCCTAGGCTCCAGAAAAGTTTCACATACAAATATAAGAGGCATTAATATGTGATTCTTCTGTAGCTCAAGAGGTTTTAATACAAGGCATTAAACCAGTTTCATTATAACGTGTTTGCGTTTTAAAAAGGAAAAAGCAAATTCACACAGAAAGTATCATCCTTTTATTTGATTTAAAATCCTAAGGGGCAGGTGAAGATGAAACAGGTTTGTTCGTTCCTTTGGCAGTCCATGGTATACTCAATATTCTTTACCAACACCATAATTCAAAGGCATCAATTCTTCTTTGGTATCCCTTATTCACTGTCCAGCTTTTGTATGCTTATAAGGGGACTGAAAATACCATGTTTTGGGTCAGGCACACCTTAGTCCTCAAAGTGACATCTTTGCTTTTTAACACTTTAAAGAGGTCTTTTGCAGCAGATTTGCCCAATG